GTCTGAATATTTGGTACCTGCCAAGTAGGCATATAATCCAGAGATAATGTATCTTGTCAGAATAATTTTATATCTAACATCTATCAGTAGCACAAGTAGTTATTTGAGAATATTGATTGTCTGATTGTCCTAAAAGTACAAAATTCGTAGGATTTACCAAGTGTACCTATTCTTATAAGCTATATATTTTTAATGTTGTAATTTGTTTGTTGATTATGACAATATTAAGTTAAGGAAGTTAAGATATGGCTGAAACTTCTAGAAAACTCTAAAAATATAATGCAAAGTGTTCTTCTAAGGATGTGACATAAAGTTCTAGCATATCCGAAGTTAGATTATATAATGACGTTCCGATAAGTGCTAATCAGAGTTCAATTAAAGTCAGATAGAAAGTGAATTGTTTCAAAACTGAATCCTTGTTGGTTTTTACGTTGTATAGTACAGTGAAAGTGACTGAAAACTTAGGCCTACAAGTTACAACAGTGTTTGATCTTGTCATAACATAAAAGAAGAAATAAATTATTTTTTTTTCCGTTTAAATAGATTGGACTTTCAGTTACTTTCACCTCCTAATTTGAAAGAACCACGTCATAACACTTGGTGTCAGAAGCGACACTATTTGGTGGAAGAAAAATAGAATTTTAACTAAATTCAACTGTTAAAGATGACGACCACCAAGACAAGTACTGAGAACCGAGTATTATTTGAAGTGATGAAATTATTAAGATCAAGAAAGACTTGGAAATTAAAAGAAAACTAGAATAAACAAAGAGAAAAGTATGTTTGATATACAAGACTGTTTAGTTTAAGTTATTATTTAGTTAATTTAGTGATTTAATGTTCAATGATTATTTAGTTTTCATAATAAAAGTGTTAAACTAATTATTTTAAAGGCAATAGTTATGACAAATTTCGTTACATAACTCAGTAAGAGTCAGTGGCATAGCAAGGGGGCAGTCGCCCCCAGGCGCAGGTGTGAAGGGGAGCAAAATTTCCTCTGGCCTATAATGCCTATTGTTATGACAGCGGAAGTCACGTGACGCTAGTAACACGTCATGAGATTCTCAAAGGATCTTGACTTTTCCTGGCAACTCTAGTCTTTTCTAGGCGCCCTCTTTCTTTGTATATAAGCCCGGCATATAAAGCGGAGAAATAATTGCAGATAGACAGATATTGAGAAAGATAATTGAGTCAAGCGACCGGTAGTGACCGTAAGTAAAGTGCGTGAATCGTTGTGAATTATAGCGTCTGTTTAAATTAAAGTGACTGTAG